ATATGTATATATATGAAGGACATTCATATACCCACAAGGCTGAAGGCTGAATACTAACAATAAATTCAATCTTTGTGCTCTTTCAAAAATTGTCTTTATGTAAGAGACCAGGTAGTAAATATTCTAGGTTTAGCAGGCCATGTGCAAGAGGTGCTGTTCATACCCACCAGTTCTCCCAGGGAGAACAGTGAGACTGTCTACTCTCTTAAAGATTTACAGCCTCACAAACGCTGAGGAGCACTTCTGCTCTCTCCTGTAGTGTCTCTATAAGTTGAAATTAGCCTAGTCACTGTGGGTACTTCTATCTGTTACAACTACTCAACTTATAGAAAATTATCAAAAAATTATAGAAACTGATAGGAAGTCAACTACAGAAAAGATGCAGTTATAAAAATTGTGAAAATGAATAACCTGGGTATGTTTTAATGAAATTTCATGTACACTGAAATTTGAATTTTATATACTTTTTCTAATAATGAAATATTTTTCTTTTGATTTTTCTAGAATTTAAAAATGTGAAAACTTTAAAAATAGTTTTATAGGCATTTAATTTACATATCATAGAATTCAGTGGTTTAAAAATATTAAAAAGAGTTGTGCAGTCATTACCACAAGCAATTTTAGAACATTTTCTTTATTCTTGTGCCCATTATTCTTAGCTCCCCATTCCTCTCTAATCTCAGCCATAACTGTCCCAAAAGAAACACGCCCACTGCCATTGAGTCAACTCTGACTCACAGTGACCCTATAGGACGAGGTAGAACTGCCCCTGTGGGTTTCCCAGACTGTCATTCTTTAGAAGAGTAGAAATCCTTCTCTTTCTCCTTCAGAGTGGCTGGTTTCAAACTGCTGACCTTATGGTTAGCGGCCCATCTAGCCCATTGTGCCATCAGACCTCCAAGCCAAAACCCTAAGGAAATATTTATCTAAGTATTATCTCTATGGATTATCTATCCTTGTTTTCATATAAAGAAAATCATACCAGAGAAACCAACAGCAAAGTAAAACACAGAAAAACCCCCGATCCAAAGAAAGTAGAACAAATTACAATGGATCAAAAAGGAAAACAAATTATAATATATTTAAATTTTAACTTAATTTTATCTGCAATAATCCACTTTCCAGTACACTTTTTCTGAAGGCAAGACTGTCACATCTCTAGCCAAGGGTCTGAGGGAGCTCATTGGAAGCTTACAGTGTGCGAGGACTTTGCAGATGGATTCTGGGTGTTCATTATCATCCATAGCGTTTGCAAGTGAGATGCTCAGAATGTAAGCTCTATTATGAAACTTTTCTTAAACTTATAGGCTATACAAAATAAAAGGTGGTAGTCTAGATTTAACCTGTGGACCATAGTTTGCCAACCCCTATCCAACCCTTTTGCCTTTTCCTCTGCCACAGGTGACTATTATCCTGAATTTTAGATTTATGATTACTGTGGATTTTTAAAGATAGTTTTCTTTTCCCATGTATGCATATATGCTAAACAATATAGTGCTAATTTTAAAAAGCTTTACACAGTTATTTCTTATAATATAAAGCTTGGACTTTGATTTTTTTCCCTTCAATATTATTTTTCTGATTCATTCATGTAGTTAAGTACAGCTAGTAAAATTGCCATCAAATCAATTTCAAATCATTGCAGCCCTATAGAATTGTACTTCATACTGGTTTCAATGGCTGATTTTTCAGAACAAGACCTCCAGACTTTTCTTCTGGGATACCTCTGGGTGGAACCCAAGCAATCTGCAAAGCAGCCAAGCTCATTTACTATTGGCGCTGACTCCTGATGATCCTATGGGAGAGAGTAGAGCTGTTCCATGGGATTTCCGAGACTGTACATCTTTACAGGAACAGGCAGTCTCATACTTCCCCTAAGGCAGCGGTTCTCAACCTGTGGGTCGCGACCCCTTTACAGGTTGAACGACCCTTTCACAGGGGTTGCCCAATTCCTAACAGTAGCAAAATTACTGTTATGAAGTAGCAACAAAAATAATTTTATGTTTAGGGGGTCACCACAACATGAGGAATAGTATTAAAGAGTTGCAGCATTAGAAAGGTTGAGAACCACTGTCCTAAGGAATGATTAATAGATTTGAACTGCCAACCTTAGCAGGCTAATTTGTTACCTACTTGTAACTGGGTATAAAAAAAGCCTATTGCTATTGAGTCTATTCATACTCATAGCCACCATAGGATTTCAAGGTCTGTCAATCTTTATGGGGCCAGATAGCCTCATCTTTCTCCCTCAGAACAGCTAGTGTGTTTGAACAGCTGACCTTACAGTTAGCAGTTCAATGCTTACCCAACAGTGTCACAAATGTTCCTTTGGAATTAGATATAAAGGAAAACCAAACCAACTACAATCCAAGTCAGTTCTGATTCACAGCTACCCCATAGGGCAGAATTGAACTCCTCCTGAAGGTTTCCAAGACTGTAATTTTTTGTGAGTGGAGATAGCCTCATCTTTCTTCTTTGGAGTGGTTAGTGGATTCAAACTGCTAACCTTGCAATTAGTAGCCTAATGCGTAACACCAGTAGGGCTCCTTGTAATTGTGAATAGCTGTATAATAATCCATGTGCGAATTATCACTTCCTCTTTTGTGGTATTTAGGTTGATAGCAGCCCTGCTCAGAACATTCTTATTTGTTTCCTGATACACATGTGCAAGATTTTATTGGGTCTCTGTTTCCTGAATTGTATGAGTCAAAATTACACAATAAATGCCAAAGTAGTATTATTTTCCTTGAAAAGTACCATTATCTTATTAACTGATTTAAGTTATACAGTATTTACTTACGTTAATAGCAAGTATATATTTTAAAGTGTAGTTAACTTAAATAGTTCATTCATTAATTTAATGTTAACATGGTTATTGATCTAATATGTTAGCTGCTGTGCTAACAGGATAAAATAAGTTAAGCAATAAAGTTGATAAGCCATACTAAGTAATACTAACTAACATTCACAAGTGAAATCTTACTGTGACAGGCATTATGATAAGCAGTTTATATGCATTTTGTCTTTTAATTTTCCCAACAAGTCTATGTAAACCTATTGGACTTTGATACATTGGTCATTAAATAGATATTATAGTATTTAAAAAAAATTTAACTTCTGCTGAGTTCCAGAATAAGATAATATAGATTCACTCTTCCCTCTGCCTCTCCTCTGATTCCAACTAAATGTCTTGGAGAGAATTTAACAGAAAACAATAGAATGCTAAAAGATAGAAAGAAGAAGGAAATTGGCTAGAAGTTTCAGAATTGAGAAATGACAATTTAGTTCCCTAGATTTTCTTTTTATCTTTCATATGTCCTGGATTAGGTGTCAGAGAGGCCTATAACCCAAATTCACAAATAGGCATAAACAAAAAGAGGAAAGGAAAAGCTTGCTTTCTCTTGCCAAAGGCCTAGAAAAAGGAAAGCCCAACAAACACCTGTAGGTAACGATAATAATCCTTGTTTCACCGCTGAAGCCCAAGCGAGTGATTCAAACTGTAGGTAGCACTGAAAACACAGGCCATATTACTCCTCTTCAGTTACTGGGGTCCGGGCAGATAGTTCTGGGGACAGTTTGTTCCAAAAGCAGGAGCTACAAGTTTGTGGGCCATCCCAGTTCCTACTGCATAATTGGGACACCAGTGGGTCATCCATATGTTTACTAGGGTAGCCACCTATATAGCCCTGTATTTCCATCCTAAGGCATTTGATTGTGTGGATCATAACAAACTATGGATAACCTTGAGAAGAATGGGAATTCCAGAACACTTCATTGTGCTCATGTGGAACTTGTACATGGGATCAAGAGAGAATTGTGTAAACAGAAAAACAGTATATGTCAGGGTTGCATCTTTTCATTTTACTTATTCAATCTATGTACTGAGCAAATAATCAGAAAAGATGCATTACATGAAAAATGTGGCATTAGGATTGGAGGAAGACTAATGAACAACTTATGCATATGACACAAACTAGCTTGCTGGAATTGAGGACTCGAAGCACACGCAGGATCTCTGCCTGAGGTGGTGAGGAACAGCAGAGACACTTGAGACAGAGCCGAGGAGCAGGGGTGAGACCATGAAACGAAGGAGTTGGGTTTCCTGACCCACAGAATATGTAAACCTTAGCCAGGCAAGAGGCTGGCTTGTATTCTTGCAAGACTTCTGACAGTTTGTGGTACATTCATTATTCCTTACCAACATCATAATTCAAATACATCATTTATTCTTGGGTCAATTTTACTCATTTCCCAGCTTTTGCATTCATATTAGATCAATGGTAATTCCATGTTTGAGATAAACTGTTAAAAAATGAGTCCCTTTGTAATGGGCTTTGATCATTTGTAGTTTGATAACTGGATGCAAGCAGTTTGTATTATATCTTATAATATACAGTGCATTTGTTGACTTCAGAAGCAATGAACTCAAATATTTTATTTTATTTGTTATTCAGTATGTAAACAAACATATCTATGCGAATTGACACTTAGGGGAATATTTAGTAACCCTGGTGGCCTAATGAGTTGGACTGAACCACAAGATCATCAGATCAAACCCACCAGGAGGGAGACCAGGCCTTCTGCTCTCTCCAGATCTACAGCCTGAGAAACCCACAGGGACAGTTGCACTCTGTCCGTTAGGTCAGGGGGAGTCAGAATAGACGTGAAGGCAATGCGTTTTTGAAGGGGAATTTTTTTCCCATGAGGTTTAAGTAACCCCCAAAGCAGTTTTTAAAAACTTTTTAATTTACATAACTCATAAAAACATAATTGGTCTGTGTTTTAAATACTTTTATTTGGGGTTTAATTACTCCTTTCTGTTCTCAGTGAATGTATTTATTAAATTGGTATAGAAAAATGTTAGGGTTCATTACCAGAGTTTTTGTGCTAAGGCTGATCAATATCTGCCAAAAGACATAAAATGGCACCAGGATATTCCTAGATAAGATGATGACACAGCTTTAGTCATTCTTAAACTTAGTACATTAAATGATAAACAGGGAATCCTGCAAAACCTGGCAGCTCTCTATGGAGGCAGGCCCAGCTCTTCAAGAGGAGGAAAGCCAAGAAACAAAGAGGAAGAGGTATGCGTCCTGCATGTTCTCTGCCTCCGTCACACAGCCATTTTTGAGTTTTTTGCCTCTTTTCTTGCATGGTTTAAATTTTTAACAATTATTTGAGGATTTTGCCAGTTTATAGGGACCTGTTAATATATTTTGACTGACATACTGTATAATGACTGATATTCTGCTTTTTTTTTTCAGTTAAATTTCTTTTTTTTCATCAAAAATTTAAAATATATTATACTTCTTTTCAGAAATAAGCTGATCTAAATTAAACACTTGAAAGCTAATCTAACATTTTTCATTAACCAAAAATCAAAATTTTATTTCTTGTTTTCAGATTAACACTTTTCCTTAAAACAAAAATAAAATTTTAACAGTAAAAATGTTGATAGCTTTTCTTTTAATTTTTTTTTCTTGCAGGCTTATCTGGCCAGGCTAAGGCAAATAAGACTACAGAATTTCAATGAACGCCAACAGATTAGAGCCAAACTTCGTGGTGAAAAGGCAAGTCAAAATTCAAAAAATAAAAAAAGTACTTGAATGATATCATAATATATTGAGATTAAGCATGTTTGTGCCAATATCACATGTGTTAGGCTGGGTTCTCCAGAGAAACAAAACCAGTGTTGTTTATATGTGTCTGAATATTGATAGAAATTTACATCAAGAAATGGCTCAGACATTTATTGAAGTGGGTAAATCCAGTGCAGTTTAAGTCCATGGATCAGGTGGTGAATTGAAGGCTTTTCCTGTCTTGTTATTCAGTATCTAAACAAACATATCCATGCGAATTGACACTTAGAGGAAAAAATAATTTTCTCCTGATTAACCAGGAAGCAGAAAGATGAAGCAGGAAGACCAAAGGCTTGTGGGTGCAATTTAAAGGAATCTAAGGTCAGCAGTCTGCTAGTGACACCTGGGAACAGCAGACAGTATGGCAGGTCTATGGATCAGACACAGCAGAATTGACAAGCTTTTCCACATAGTCTGCTTTAAAAGGAGCAGGCTACATACCTGAGGAGTCTTTCTTTCAATTGTGTCGAGGTTGTAACCTAATCATGGGGCTGCATCCCACCACAACTGCTGTCTGCTCACAGAGCTGATCACATGTTATTTACCATCAAGGAAGTAATTAATTATGTTGTTAGATCTCATCATGAGAACCCTGGCCCAGCCAAGTTGCCACAAAATCTAACTATCACAAAACACCCCAAAATAATGTCGTGAGTGAGTAGAAAGTGGCCATATTAATGTTCTTAAATCTCTCGTTGGCTAATAAGAAGGTAAGTAAAAAAGTATTGCAATAAAATCATAGAATCCTATTAAGTGAAATAAACTTTACCTGTCCTAAATCATTTGCGTTGTCTACTCATTTTGTAGAAAGAAGATGAAGGAGGGAGTGAAGAGGCTGACATGAGACGCAAAAAGATAGAAGCACTTAAGGTACAGACAAAATTAAACAGGATATTTTGTTTTGATTCTAGATAAAATCGAAGCCTGATTCCTTCTTTCCCACCTATTCCATACTTTTGGTTCCATTTTTTTATTACATATTTAGAAATAGCAATTAAATGAGACCACACATATATATGTCACATAGGTATTCTTGAAAAGGAAAAAAAGTGGATTAAAAATATACATTTGTTCACTTCTTTGAAGATTAATAAAATGGAACCATGAGTAATAATCATTATTGTAAAATTTCTATCAGAATGTACCTGTGTTTATTTTCATTCAGCAAATATATATTGACTACCTGCTATGAGAGGGAGCCAAATTCTTATTCTGGAAAAATCTGCCACCCTTTCCCACCTCCACTCTCACATATACTTCTTTTTTGGCTTAAAAATAAGTATTATCTTTGTAGATCTGAAAAAAAAAATTAAACCCTTCTCTCTTAGAACTAGTTTTGTTTATTTTTAAATTTATTTTTAGTCCCAAGCAAATGCACGTGCAGCTGTACTGAAAGAACAACTTGAGCGGAAGAGAAAGGAAGCATATGAGAGAGAGAAGAAAGTGTGGGAAGAACATGTAAGATTTGGCACTTTTTCTTAATTCTGGCTATATTCATGTTCTTATGTTTTTTAATGTATAAGAGAAACCAAAAAGTATTGCAAAAGAATCATCAAACCATTTATTACATAACAATTGCAATATACGAAGTTATTGTTTCTTGACACATCTTCCCTCTGGGTTTGCGAACTTCTGAAGATGCTATTTACATCTCTTTATATCTTTCCCTGAAGAATTCTGCATTCTTCAACTTACTCACTATCAACTGCCTTCTAGACGATTAAGACTGATAGCCATTTTGTAGGACAGGATAAAATTGCTCCTTCGGCTTTCCAAGGCTGTAAATCTTTATAGCAATAGGCAGCTTTATCTTTCTCCTTACACCAAATCAAAAATGGCAGTTTGGACATCTGTTAAGGACTCAAATAGCGTTACTTTACTTTTCTTACTCTTTTTTTTTTCTTAAGGAACTAGAGCCTCAAGGGGCAATATCAGGGCAGTAGGGTGGATATAGGGTAATATTTTCCTTTGAAATTCTCATAGGACAGCCCTTGGCACCCTGAACGAAAGAGTGGGTGCACTGTCATGATGGAAAAAAATTCCCAGCACAGGTTTTTACCTTTTTATTTCCAATGTACTTTTCAATTTTCTCAAAACTTTTTCATAGTAAGCCCCCATGATCATCTTGTATCCTTCGAGAAAATCTATCAAGATTACCTGTTTGCAATCCCAAAAAACATTTTCTTTAACTTCTGAGCCTGACCTCTGCCTTATATTTAACTGGTCGAACAGATCTCCTTGAAAGCTATTGTTTTGATTTTACCTTCATGGTTTTTTTTTTGTTTTGTTTTTTTAAGCACCCTAAAGAGACTAAGAAGCCTTGATGGTATAGTGGTTACACACTGGACTGTGATCCGCATGGTTGGCAATTCGAAACCACCAGCAGATCCTTGGAAGAAAGACTGGTCTTGCTGCTCTCATAAACTGTTTCAGTCTCAGAAACCCAGAGGGGGTCACTATGAGTCAGCATTGACTCAAGGGCAGCGAGTTTCAAAGAGACTAAGTCATGTGTATTACGAAGAGGGCTTGTGTTCAACCAGTCAGTGATTGTGGGGACAAGCTAAAACATTATTTCCTTTGGAATAACTTGTGCATGTATGAACTAGAAATCTAGTAACTGTAGTTTTTCACTTATTCTTGTATATCAGCATTATAATTCTATATTATTTTTATTTCTCTATCTTGTATTTAAGGGTGACCTATATGGAAGTTATTTGGGATCTTGACTTGAGTTGAAGGCCTAATTTTTAAGTATGTATGAATGTAAAAGGTGTCCTTATGTGGCAGTGGTTAAGTACATGGCCACTGACTAAATGGTTGTTGATCCAAACCCACCAGCTGCTCCATGAGCTAGAGTAGCTGTCTGCTTCCTTAAAGATTACAGCTTTGGAAACTCTATGGGGTGGTTCTATCAATCCTGTGCAATTACTGAGAAGGAATTGACTCAGTGGCAGTAGGTTTAGTTTGTTGTTTTGTTTCAAATGTAGGACCAAGTAACTAATCAAACTCACCGCATCATTTTATAGCTATACGATCCTTTCTCCACAGATTTACTTTTGTTGTTAAGTGCCATGGAATCACTTCTGACTCACAGTGACACTTCTGAACACTACCCAGTCCTGTGCATCCTTAAAATTGTTAATATGTTTGAGCCGCTTGTGCAGCCACTGTGTCAATGCATTTTATCAAAGGCTGCCTTTAAGATGGATTGAATTCTGACATATATATTTGAGAATGAATCTATAGCATATATGTAGCAAGCTATTTTGTATATTTTTCCTAGGCTCTTTTCCCCTTCCTTTACTCAGTCCACTCTGCCAACACCACATTGTATTAGTAATTATACCTCCAAGAAACCATTAATATAGTTACTGCCTTTGTAGATTTACCTATCCTGAATTTCATATACAGAAAAAAACATACCAAAAAAAGGAGAAAACCTAACAACAATAAGAAAGGAAAGCAGATAAAAACCTAAATTTAAAAAACTCAGAAAATATTAAAAACTAGATCAAATTTAAAATGGAACAAAAGGGAGATCAATTGATATGGTGTTAATTTTTAACCGAACTGCATTGGGAGTAATCAACTTTCTGATGCACTCTGCATGATGGCAAGGCTATTCACATCCCTCATTTGTGGTCAAAGAGGATTCACCAGAGGATGAATCCACATATATTTCCTGTGACTTTTTTTCTTAAACTCAAACAACTTTAAAATGTATCAAAAGAAGATAAAATGATACATACAATATTACATTTTAACCTAACTTTATCTGCCATAATCAACTTTATAAGTTTCTCTGTATCATAACAAGGCTATTCACATTGCTGGACTATAGTCAGATGGAATTCACCTGAGGCTTAATCCATGGGTGGACCTTGCAAATAGATTTTGGACTTCCACTCTCATCCATAGCCTTCTGCAAACCATATGTTCAGAATTTAAGCTCTAATACCGTTCCATCCTTCAGATCTGGATTTTATTATTATAATCCTTAGTTCACACAGACTGGTATGCTTCTTCCATGGGGACTTGGATGATGCCTCACTTAGATGGCTATTTGTTTGAAGACAAGATTTAAGACCCCAGATGCTATTTTTTCTGATAGTCAAACACCATGTATTTTCTTCACCACACTTTACTATAGCATCCAATACTTTAGTGATCTTTTTTGTAGGGTGAGCATCAAGTTTGGCCATTTCCTAAGACCTAATTGTTCTTAGATTGGGGCTAGAATTAAGTGTGAGGCCCAAATCCATTCATATATGTATGGTTTATATATTTCTCTGGTTCACTTTAGAGACATCATTGTCATTTATGTTAGAGAACATTATTAATCATCCCCCTGGGGCATAAGGTAATCCCAATGAGAGTATCATTAATTTAGACAATGATATAGAATTTAAAACTTTGTTGAAGAAAGGAAATTATATAAGTATAGGCCAGCTATGAACCTCAATACATGAATTAGTGACTTGTACAGATTAAATTCTTAAGAGACTGGACACTATTTATGCAAACGTTGGGAGTTGTTGATAGGGTAAACTTTTCAATAACATTCATTGACAACAGCAGAACCACACCTACCAGATTAATACATGTCATAATAAAGCAAAGAAGGCATTAAAATTATAACTATGTAGTAGTCCCAGGCAACCATTCATTGGGCACCCACAAGGCAAAAGACCTGAACCAAAGGCCAGTGACTGCCAGCTCTATACTTTTGGAATAACTGTCATCTGCTTCTTCTCACACTAGGGAGTTTCAATCTTGAGTCAAAGAGATACAGCTGAGTTTAAAATAAAGCCCAGGTCACTTACTGGGGTTTCTACATTGAGTCCTTCTGGTATGGCCTGTGAGGGATGCTATGCCCTTCGAAAGACAGAGTCCAGTCCCAGTAGTCTATAGCACACAGTTCGGGTCACCAAAATCTAGATAGAAATGAGGTCAAAAGTATCCAATTAGGAATATAGTGCCAGGCAAATTCTCCCCGTGGGTTCTATATATAAGGTTTGTTAAGTTTTTTTTTTTCCTCATGGAAGGTTGTTTCTCCCCATTTCCCTACCAACAGAAATATAATCACCTTCTCTGAAACATATGTCTCCCCTCCTCATGTCTTGACATGAATTTTCAGTAAGGTTCATTTATCACTCTGGTGGGGGTATCTGTTGATTGGGGGTGACCTTAACACAATTTTGTATGATAGAAACTGAATGGCCCTCTCCTCCTTTCTATATCTAGAAAAACTGACCCCAGCTGAGGTGAGGTCTCCTCTGTCAAAATGGTTTTTAAGATGTAGGTATCTACTTAAAAAAAAAAAATTCCTATTAGCATTGTACTTGGCATTACATTACATCTAGAAATTAAGAATTGACATGTTTTTAATTGTCCTTGTCTAGGATCATGTTAAATTTGTATATTTATTCATTATGTCTTTTGCATCTGCTATACAATTTTTATCATTTTTCATACATATATCTGTTGGATTTCTTATAAAGGTATTTCTCTATAATTTGTAATTTCATTTCTGATGTTAAAGGAAGTTTATCATTATTTTTCTAATACAATATTGCTGATACTTGGAAAAATTATTAGATTTTACTTATCTCTTATCCAATGAATTTTTATATTCTACCAATTTTCCACATTTTTAGCATACACTATATCATTGGCAAGTGATTATGGTAATAACCATCATCATGACAATAATTCTTATAATGATAATAATTCTTAGTGGTACAACAGGCATATTGTAGCCACTGTAAATGTATTGTTTAGTCTTTCTTAGTCTTACAGAGCAGATGTAAAAAGGTTAAAAAGCAAAACTAAAGCTATGTGTGGTTACATTTTTAATAAGTGTAGAGCAAGGATTTAAGCCTGGGTCTGCCCAGTACCTATGTTTGTATTTTTATACTTTATACTCCAGTCTCCCCTACTTTTTTCAAGTTGTGAAAAAGGTTAAAAATCATTTAAATAGCGTTTCTGTCATTAATGGAAATGTGTCAGTGGTTTTTATATTTACTATGGTAAAAAGTGTCATTTTAACTTCAGTTTTTACATTTTTTATAAGAGACATATTTTTACAATTTTTCACTTTTGTGAAAAATTTGATACTTTTGTGTATCAAAGGTAAACTTAGAAGAATTCTCCCTTCTGAGTCCTCCCATTGATATATTTGTATTAGGGCCTTATTTGTCTAGAGATCCAGAAAGACTTTGTTTGTACTACATCTGTAATAAAAAAGAAGAGTTCATTTAAAGAAGACTTGATTTAAAATCCTTAGACTTTGATCTTACTTCCAGGGTTCTCCCACCACTTCCCCTCACTCTCTTAAAATTAACTCTATTCAAGGGAATTTGAGGAAGTAGCTGCTCTGAATTCTCAACTCTCACTTAGGTTGTTCTCTTTTGTTTCAAAAGTCTGACAGTGGAGAATTCCTTCTCGTCTTACTCTCC